ATGATCGTACTTCTGTATGTACGAGCTATATGATGCGTGGGAGGAGCTCAGAGCACTTAGGGACGAACTTTGCCATTTTACCCTATTGCTTTTTCTTATTTCTAGCTGTGGAAAAAACACGGGAAGTGTGCAATTGAATGTTCGATGTTTCAAGCACATGCTATAATAGAATAAATGGTGAATTTTCTTTGAATCTTTTGAGGGCGAAGATTTTTGACGGTAAAATTCGTTTTCGATAACCATCAGACTTCAGCTCAAAACTTCACGTGAATACGTTGGATAGACTCTTGATATCAATTTTGTAGAACTTGGTTTGCCCTGTTCAATGATTACTGAAGCATCAATTGAAGAAAAAAAACGGTTGTAGTAAAAACGGTAAAAAATTATGAGACACCCTAATAAACCAAAGTGGCGAACCCTTTTGCTGATAAAACTTTAAAAAAAAACTTTGAGGCCTCAATAGGTTCAAATTCTCCCCTATGCCGTAATACTGCCGATGAAATTGCTGCTCCGTAGCAAATTTACATTCAAAAAGAGCTGGATTCCTTTCTAACAGGCAGCGATTCCTTTTTCACGCTTGCGTCGAACTAAAGAAAACTGTGTTTCGGTACCCGCAACTCTTGAGTTCTACCTTATGGTGACCGGTATGAGTAGCTGACTCACTGAAGTTCTTTCGTAAATACCGGTATGGTAGTATTTTATAGTTTGGCCAACCCAGCGTAGCCAACCTGATTCGATAACCTATTAGCTTCTCGAGCATCGATATCGTGAGTAAAGCCTGCCACCGAGTATCTAACCCACTAGGTTTTGTTGATATATTCGGCCACAAAGTTCTAGACAAACTGTAATATCTGACAAGTTAAGTTTTACTGATATCGGAGAACGACCTGAGGTTTGTAGCAAGAAACAATCTCAAACAGCTCGACTGATTCTGTGAATAGGGAGTAGTGTTCGGCAGCTGCTGAAGCTTTTCTACATTTTTCCGTAAGGTACGTATAGTAGGAAACAGCTTTTGCATAAATACACATGCTTTTCTCTCCAGTAGCGTCTTTTGGTCCAAACACTTGTAAGTTTCCCTTCTATGGAAGTTAAATGATAACTTGTTGCTATACTGGTGATTTTGTCTTCAAAGCAGAATTGCTCAAAAAATGTATCCCTTTCAAAATTTCATTTGAAAATGCTAAAGAAACGGGAAATATTTGCATTAATGCTGCGGCACAAGTAAAACTGACCTTTCTCAAGATCATCACAAAAATTTTCAAAGTGCTTTTCTTCAGCAAATTGAGAAGAAAAATTTGAAAAATGAAGTTTTGGCACAAACTTGCTCGAGAAGCGTCAACTCTTGAGTAGAGTTGACAAACTTCAAAGGAAAAATTGTAAAAATGCATTTTTGACGCAAATTTGTTTGAATCTTGTTAATGGTTGACCAAATGTTTGAGACTTGTCAATTTCCCAGCAAATATACACTAAATGTGCTTTTCCGAATCTCCCTTGAAATCTTTTGAAGAAACCGGGAATTTCATGCACAATAGTGCTGCAGTAAAAAAGTTCCCTTTTTTAAAGCGCACAACGAAAGTTTTCGTGATGTTTATCCATTTTAACCGTTCCATATTCCGTGAAGGAACTCCGAATCAGATTGTATGGACAGTGTTTCGTCCTTATGCTTCCGCCTTTAGGCATGGAAACACAAGAAAATATCAAGATATTTAGCTGAACTGCGGTCTGTAAAATGCTTCAAGCTGACATTAATAAGAAACAGAACCAGTCTATGAACTTATTGCTAGAAATACCGGCCGATACTCAGTTTCAAATAAAACGCTAGTTAGAATGCAAAAAACGAGAATCCAGCAGAAGTCGCTTACTGTAATCAAGCAGTAATGTAATCAGAGAGCATGTCCCAACTAAATAAACTTGACATGTAACATTTTTCCTTTCTAATCAAATTCTTTCCATTGTATATTTCTCATTTCTTACTACATAGCTCTTTTTTTAATTTGGTTGTTCCAGATTATCACAAGAAAGTACGATAAGGTTAAGGTTAGTTTATTTTCATTTATTTTTGGTTATATTTTACGACCTTCCCTCACTACTGATGACTTCCGGGGAAGGTCGTATTCTTTGTCTAATTTCCGTCTAGTGGTAGGAAAGAAACGGAAATTAGATAATTCATTTGTTTTTATTATTATTATTATTGAAAGATAGAAATAGTGAGAAACTTTCTTTACGCATTCATATAGTAAACAGTTTAGGGATCACAACCATGTCCTACATAAGAGATGCATTAGAAGTATGCAAGCTAGATATTTGAAGATAGGTAAGAGATTCTTCTCAATTTCCAACAGAATCATAGCACATAGATTAGTGCTTTTGGGGATAAATAATCTCAATTCCAAGATTTATCATGGTTCTTGGGCTGAAAAAAAAACATTTGCTGGGATAACACGTTTTAAACACCAATGATTACACAAAAGTGCCAAAGAAGAATCTCAGAAATAAAAATTGTGAACTGGAACAAAAAAGTTTTGCTTGCTAATATATGTATGCTAGTTGTAAGTTAAATCAAATTACTCCTGTAAATTCTATAATAGGCAAACTAAATCACGAAGAAAAAGGACACTGAACACTATGGAAATGCAAGGATCAATGATAGTTTGCTGTGGTGAGAGGTTCTTTCAGAAATCATTGATTGATGATCTCCATCTTCAAAGCCGTTGGCATTCTATGACATAAAATTCAAGAATATCACATGTTTCGGACAGAATACTCACAAATTACCTATTCATTTGTTTACATTCACATCAATTTCGTGAAAGTAAAGAAAACGCAACTGGATAAAAAAGGCTATTAATTGGTCAAAATGTCTCGTCCTAATTATAGCTCCCTATTGATTACTGGCCAAAGGATACTTCACAGTAAACAATGTGTTGAAGTTTTCTGTAATTAAATGAACTAGTGATTTTCCTAATGAAAACTGGCAAACGACATTGTTAAACATTCGATCTAACATGGCGAATTATGCTGATTCTCTAAACTTCGCTAAAATTTTGCAAATTTGTATGAAAAACCTGGATTTGAACCTCACATGATAAAAAGTAGTCAAAGCAAGGGTTCTCTGAAAATATTTTATTGCATAACAGTTATTCATCAGCAGAATGTAGAAAGAACTTTGTATCTTAGATAAGAGAGCTGAAAAGTTTTAAAAGTAAATGTTTAGTGACGATGTTTGTTGGCCATATAACTTATATTTTTACCTTCAAATATTATGATGTTTGAAACAAAGATCCTAATCCATCCAGCAAGGAACTGTGATTTTTCCCGACATGCTAGGATTTTTGGGTGATTTTTGAGGTTTTTTTGAATGCTTTTAGGCGCACTCTACTGTGTAACATAAATAAACAAACTAATAAATAAATAGATAATTAATAACGATAGAACTCCATTACCACCTTATGATAAAGTCTCAAAAAATCAAAATGCACTCGGCCTACCTGCTTTTATAGACTCAAAAAAATTCTCGAAAGTTTCTAACCAGTAACCTATGTTAAATTAGCGCATAAACTTTCGAAAATTTCAGAAATTGTAAATATTCATGTTTTTCTCTATTTATTTGTGTATATACTGTGTATCATAATGCATTGCGTTTCTTCCTGTTCTTGGTGTATGTTTTTGTAACATAGAGCTGTCAATTAGAGCTTTAGAAAAACACTAAAAATTTCCCGTTACAACGGCACCATATACCGTCCGCTGCCGGCTGTCAACTGTTGTTGGAGCTAGTAGATAAACGTTAAGTAGCCTACAGTCAAATTAGTACATATGATCATGTGTGTCATTGCACACAATGTCCACCTTTGTGTTCCCATCCTGATTTTTTGGCGCAGTCACCTTTTCAGTCGAGTGTTCTCGATGTTTTTTTTATTTTCTAGATACTAGTATGCCCAGAATGATGTCCGACAAAGTCCAGTCTCTTGTATCAATACGATTGCAAGGACGCCAAAGAAGGACGGTGCGTGCAATGCACACTTGGTTATGTGGATTCGACTAAACATTCTGAGCAGCGCTCCTATATATTTCTCTTTGTCCATCAGAGTTCTTATAAGCTTATTGGCTAATTGAATCGTACGTAGAAAGCTTTATGCTGATAAGTGACAAATCGGATGTAAAACCTAAAAATTTTTTCATTCCTTGTCGATAGTGCCTGTGTGCAGTATGGCTAAAATTTATTAGAAACAGCTGTGTGTTACAAAAACCCTGGAAATGCTTGAGGTTTTTATGTTCTCCAGAGATTTAGAATCGTACCCTTCCTTTAACTTCGACAGTCTAAATTTCTAGTGCAACCTCACGTATTTGCTTCATCAGTAATATTGATTTTAGACATAATATTGAAGCCACATTCGAAAATAGCATAGACTTCGGGAACCCCCATATGTCACAGATAGATTATTTTTTATTTATTTTATCAATTGTGCAATCTCTCATATATGATCCATTTATACTTTCAACTGCATCAAGCAATTTTCAACGCTTTAACATAGAAAAAAAAGTTTTCAAAAAATTATAAAATTTCCCGCAACGGCAACAGCATATATGTAAGCTGTGCGTCGAACGCTAGCATGTAAACCAGATATCAAATAACTACAGTAAAAAAAACCAGTGAACCAGTCTGAAGGTGGTCTTTGCAAAAGCGTTTGCTTCGGGACCGCACCGCAGTTTCCCGCTATTTGCAGGTTTTTGAATTGAGTTAACGATTCTGTATATATTAGATTGCATGATATGTCCACATGTTCATGGTATCTTTGCGCAGCTATTTACCAACAAATTTTGCGCAAATAATTCGAAAACTCGCGTAATGAGTGTAAGTTATCGAGAAATTGTGGCCAAACTCCGAAAAAGCTGGACCAATTGAGTCCGCTTCTCCGTTTTGCCATGATTGCATGGACTGAAGCAACTCTAATAGTTTTGGTGCATTGATTAGCAGCAACAAATACGAATAAAATTTTTATTGATTGTAATCAAAACTATAGTTGAACATCATTGCAAAGCAATATTATTATCACACTTTACTGATCACCTGATTATCAGGATTGTAGCGAATCTTCACGATGAAGTACGCTTGTCAGAACCTAAATGTTTCAATAAGCATTTAAGTATTAAAATATTTTGGTCCAACCTTAAATGAGCACCTCAGGTTGAGTGGTCGCAAGTAGACGTCCCAATGTTTCTCGACATATTATTGAGCGAGAGGATTTTTCTGGAACCGCAGCTGCACCGTCACAATCTGCCTTTCGATCGTGACCATAGAGATATTTTCGTAGAGTATCTCGAAAGCTCCGCGAAAATGTGACGTAAATGACGAAGTTGAAACTGAAATTAATGCGTGAAGGGGTCACATGTTCACACTGCTACAGTGCTGGACATAATTATACAGCCACTTTAAAAATCGTCGTAATTTTTGTTCTTGTCAATGAATCTGTCTGAAACTTTGCTGTATTGTGCGCATGTCAACCTACCATAACCCCTCAGAACGGCTTCCAGTCTTGTTGAGTTTGAACAGAGAAAAACGAAAAAAATCGAAAAAGCCCTCTTTGAAAGCTGGACAAAATTATACAGCCACCTGGTTTTTCTAATCACTATCGCATTCGTTGACTCTCAAATTTTTTTGTACAATTACATCCCAAAATATGAAACATTTGCGACACTTATGGCCTGTCTTCCTACTCAAATAGAAGCAATCGCTGCATTTCTTGCTTTTAAAAGCATCAAAAGTAAATCTCCTTCAACAAACAACTGCTAAGAGTTTTCAAGCTCTTGTTCATTCCAAATGATAATCATGGAATCTACTGACCCTTGTGGATAGATGAGGTGAAGAGCGCTTTCGTAAACTCTGCGTAATCGCTGATTTTGACGGACAGACTTCAACCTCAACATAGGCTTGGAACGCTTTTAAACCACAAACTTCGATTTTCAAGCAACAGAAATTACTGCAATGTAGCCATTACGAAAGCCATACAACAGTGAACTCGTGTGCATGACTGGGAAGAAATTTCGGGACTGAGCACTCTGATTCAGCCGCAGTTGACATTCACTGAATGTTGAGTGGAGCACCCTGTACAATCAAAGCCAACTCAGATCACGAGATAAAACCGGAGACGCTTAAAACGTCAAAATCTTAGCTAATCTCATTCATCGGGTGAAATATGACATGAAACACAGACGGAAATAAGGAGATCTAGGGTTATATCGAATCTTCCGCTCGCAGGGAATTTTTGTGGAAAGTATTCCAGGTCTAAATCGCTACCGCATCATTAGGAAAAATCTGAAAGTTGTTGCGAAAGCTGTATCCCCATGTAGACAATGTGATAAATCAAGTTCAGCACTTTGTGGACATTGCAAACTGAGTTTTGTGGTTTAAAAGCGTTCCAAGCCTATGTTGAGGTTGGAGTCTGTCCGTCAAAATCAGCGTTTACGCAGAGTTTACGAAAGCGCTCTTCACCTCATCTATCCACAAGGGTCAGTAGATTCCATGATTATCATTTGGAATGAACAAGAGCTTGAAAACTCTTTAAAGTAGTTGTTTGTTGAAGGAGATTGACTTTTAATGCTTTTAAAAGCAAGAAATCCAGCGATTGCTTCTATTTGAGTAGGAAGACAGGCCGTAAGTGTCGCAAATGTTTCATATTTTGGGATGTAATTGTACAAAAAAATTTGAGAGTCAACGAATGCGATAGTGATTAGAAAAACCAGGTGGCTGTATAATTTTGTCCAGCTTTCAAAGAGGGCTTTTTCGATTTTATTCGTTTTTCTCCGTTCAAACTCAACAAAACTGGAAGCCGTTTGAGGGGTTATGGTAGGTTGACATGCGCACAATGCAGCAAAGTTTCAGACAGATTCATTGACAAGAACAAAAATTACGACGATTTCTAGAGTGGCTGTATAATTATGTCCAGCACTGTAGAAATTTATTAGGTTGTAACAGAATTAATGCAGGTTTTCCAAATTTTGAATTTGGAATGCTATAGTTTTTCACAAAAACGGTCAATCCGTTTCCAATAAAAATTGGGGCAATCAGCAAACCTTTGGTAAATTAGCGCGCACTACTCTGTCGCTGTAGCTTCACTGAGAAAAATTTTATAGCCCGAAGACTGCCAAAAATTTTCTTGGAAAGCCTTTAGTTTGAGAGACCATAACTTACTACACAACTTAGTAGGATGATACAAACTTCACTCAATTATAGACAATAGTCAGTTGTGCAGCAGCATTACGCTTGAATTTTACGAAAAAATTTCTGCTAGAAAATATTGCAAACAATTTGTGATCAGTCATTCTTATAAAGTGCTCTAAAAAGGCGAAAAAGTCCTTTTTACTGTTTTTTGAATTTTTTTGCCAGCAGAGAGAATAACGGCTTCCCATTTTTTTGCTTCTAAATGTCCCAAGTCTATTGTTTCTGCACATGGCGAAAGCTCTGTGATTGCTTCGCACTCGGGGTTTTTATACGCCGCAGAATGGTAGCAGCGTTAGTTTGGGTTTGGATTGAAATTTCTTAGTCTGGAAACTTCTGAAAAATCTGCTGCAATATGCGTTTTGTAGAACAAGTCACATACAAACATTATGGCAGTTTGCGATATATAGCGATTTTTTGCGGTGAATTTAGAGCAAAAAGTTCAAAAAGGGTAAACTTCAGAGATCAGCTTCTCGATTTCAAAAGCACGTGATCTCGAGATGAATCCACTACTCTTGAAAGGAAAGCATGCGCAAGAAACTAGAAGAATAGTGGTTTCAGATGATATGCATACCTTCTTAGAACAATTGAAATTTATTTTGAACCAGCCCTTTCAAAAAGAGGTGTGAAAAACCTGCATTAATTCTGTTACAACCTAATATATTATGGTAGTTCCAAAAGTAGTTTTCTTTTTTGCAGCCACATTCGAGGGAATACCTAGAGGGAATATCAAAAATATTCGATACTGTTTTTATTTCCTTGCAAACAGTTATCTCTTTTTGCAGTTCAGCCAACGAAAACCTAAAAAAATTACAAGAATACGATCGGTTTTTGCCATAGTCATATTTTACTGCTTTTCCGATTTTTTATACGTATCCCCCCCCCCCTTCAAAAAAGCGCGAAGTAACGGACGGATAAAGCAAATTCTGCAGAATACAGAACATTTTTTCTTTCTTTCCATACATCAACATAATCATTTGATAGAATTTCTATTGAAACCACCAAACTTTAGCTGACCTGTCTCAGACGCATACGCATCACGCCAATGATTTTCGAAACATTAGAATTGTGAAGATAGATTATTATTTAACATATGAGAGCTGGATTCAAAATATCAATTCTTGAATTTTCTGAGTGTAGCTAGGAAGAAAACTTCACGAAATGGGAACAAAGTAAAAAATTTCAGAAGAAAGGAGCAACGACAACTGAGTTGCTCGCGGGTTGATGTTGTTTGAGTTAACCAAATATGGAATTTCATAATCAAAATAACCGTAAATTTCTGAGAAACAAGCTGCGAAAAAAGAACTGTTTTGTATCCAGTAAGGTTTCGTTAATTATTCCTTTTTCGGGGAAGGGGGATGGGGCTGATATACAAATTTAAGAACATAGCGGAACTTGGTCATGACAAAAACCAAACGTCGTGAGTTTTGCTAGTTTTCTGAGACTTCATTGGTTAAGCCACTGAAAATTTGAATCTCTAGGAGAGCATTAAAAATTGTATCGGACTTTCTATATTTTCTGTACATTCTCTGTTCCACGAAATGTGGAGCTTGTTCAAATAGAGCGAAATTACTTTTGGAAGAGTTTGATATTTATAAAATTTTGTAATTTTAATAATATAATTTGTAAATTAAGCAAAGAAAACAATCTATGAAAAATCTTGGATTATTTATTTTGGTTTTTTTTTCATGAAAACAGTGCACTTTCACTCAGAATTTGCAAGAGCGTTGTTGGAAAAATTTCCTGCTACGTGAATGCGTCTTAAGGAAAGATGCATCAAGGATGTGATGATGAACCCTTCCTTCCGAGGAAACCCACAAATTCTAACCAAATAGCATTCCATGTTGTCTCGACTGGTTTTCCCTGCCTAATATAATAAATACCATGATTTTCCATTCATCTATTTAGAAATCAGTCTAAATTCTCATCAAATTTTTTACAATCGTGATATTTCACGGAAAATTCAAAAGTGCCATTTTCGTACTGATACCACCGTAGCTCCTCTGTAATCACCTTCCAAGAAACCTCGGAACTCTTGAAGTACTAGTTTCATCTTGATCTAGCTTATGCGCCTCAATCTCCTTCTCCCAAAAGAGCAACTTTGTAAGCGATAGTGTTCACTTGAAAAACAGAAGAACTGCCTTTGCTTTATAAATATAAAAAAACATTGTAATTAATTTTACCTTGAATTGAAGACGACGAGCAGATTTGATAAGTCGACAATATAATTTATATATGGACCTATCGCTGCCACAATCTTTGCTTCAAATGTGTTCAACAGTAGGGCAGCCACATTACACGCTATGAACAAAAGGACGACAAGTATCTGGAAAAAAAGGAAGAAATTCAGGGGGGAGGAAGTAAAAAAAGATCATGTTAACTACCAGAGATATAGTATCACCGGCACTTGTTCCACCTGCACCAAATATTGAAGCTCCTAAATTCGTGGGATCAATCATAAAAGAAGATTTATTTGACATTTTATGAATTTCACCAATAATGAAAGTATTTAGTATAACGAGTATTATAAGTGGACCAACTGCTAAAAATATAGCATACATATATTTGTAGTAAATATTCTCGTACCTGAAAAAATACATACTCTTTTCTTAGAAGTTAATTATCCTACAAACTTACATATCATTATATCTTATAGTTTCTGGGCAAACTTCCCACGATGATCCGCCAAGAGCTTCATGATAACAGTCGATTACAACGGCTTCGAAGCAGTGTGGGATATTGTATAGAACAGAGAATATGAACACAAATATTATGCTACTTCGTATGAATTTCGTCTCTGCCATCGTCCTCTTTACTTTGTCGGGAAGGCAAACCTGAATTACAAAAAAAACTCAGCCGATTTAAAGTTCATTGTGTTTCTTTATCATGCCAAAATCACTGTCAGTTTGTCTTAGTTTCCATCTCTATTCATGACTTCAAGAGCTTCGTGAAACATAAAGGACTTGCTGACTTCGTTACTTTATAAAATTTTGATGAAAAGACTTATTAAGACTTATTTAGCTTACTCCACAACTCCCCTCTCCGCTTTTTCTAGATGAAACCAAAAAAGCAGGAAGTTAGATTAGGTAAAACTTCGGTATCATATTTTACCAGTTCAATTTTGTATATTTTGAGACTTCTTGATGCCATTTGCATATTCCCTTGCAGTAAAAATGAACTTGATTCAAATGAAAAGTGTCATTATTGCATATTGTCTGTTACTATAACCACTACAATCGTACTCGTACCTCCTTTTTTCTTCTTTTGTTAGATTGCAAAAATGTACAGATGGATTTTTTAGATAGCCATCGAGTTAGCCCTCTTCCTCAAATTTGATTATATTCTTTCCGTTAAGTATTAATCTAACACCTATAACCGGCTGCTGAAAGAGATTCCCCAAATGTGCTCAGATCCGCAAACACGCAAATTTTTTTAGAGCTTGAATTACCTCTTTTTAACTTATTTATGTGTTATTTCTCGATCTGTTTATCTTTAAAACATAACTTTGGAGAAATGCCAGTACTTGAGAGCTGCATAAGGGGTACTGTGTAGGTCAAAGTGCGTTACTTTCTATGCACTGTTGCAAAATCTGCAAATGCTTTACAATCGTGCATGCGTATCGAATTACGAACAGCTGGCACTTTGCCAAATTGCCCAGATACTGAGCAATTTGGCAATGTGTCAGTTGTTTAACTCGGTCATGTGAAGTATTTCGGGATCTTTAACAAACCTCGGGCAATTCAGCCGGAAACGCGTTTAATACGTGATTTGGCGATTTAACAAATGTCAAAAAAAAATCAAAGCGCGCTTACTTTGAATGCATATTTTTCAAAGCTTTTTCAAATGTTGTCGCAGTACCAAACAGGAGGCAATTGTGATTTGTTCTAATGCATGTATGTAATTAAGAAAAATGGTTTTATAAATTGTAAAAAGAAGATTCAGAATGTTGTTTAATAGGTTTGAAAGTTCTCACTAATAAGAGTAGATGTAACTCTGACAGATCATAAGCACAATAAAAGGCTCAAAACCTTGCCAATTAACCGACGAAAACAAAGTTACTCTAAAACTATTGCTAGAGATGAAAGAAGAAGCTAAGGATACGTCTAGCATTTTCATTTAATTGTTATTTTTGAGCTTTTATAAAAATTTGGAACATCAGGAATTATGACGAATGCGATTCTAAAATTTCCTTTCTCTGAGCACCGGACTGTGTTTCGACCATTCAAAGAGCCAAATAAGCACATCTGCCCTCGGTTCATTTCAACTTGATTTGCTTACTGCACACAATACACCTTACTTGACGAGTTGTAAGTTTTGAACCTGCTCATTTTCAGCGATTTTGCGTTGTTTCCTTGTTTTAGTTTGACTGAATTTGTATTAGTTACTAGTTCACATTTGATAACTTCTTGAGTTACAAAAGATCTAATGAAAAGTTACTATAGGGCAGGCCCACATAACAAAAGACTACAAGATATATTTTTATGTAGAACTAAATGCACGACTGCATTCAATTTTTGAATTTTCGCGAAACAAGTCCTACTTTAGCAACTCGGTCCCAGTACTTCTTCATATCGATAGAGGATGATAACTTAGAACTGCATTTGATCACCAGGAAACTTTTTCCCTTGAAAATTTTTGCTGTAATATTTGATGTTTGAAGATGAAATACTAAATTTAGCTATTCCTGAGTGTGCAAGTCGCCTCATTCGGATAACGACCATTTTTTGAAAGGGGGGGGGGACGGAGGTTATTGGCTAAAATAAACAGCAAGTGCTCTGATTGCAGAATATTGTCTCATCTTTCTTCATTATCTTTTGCTTTCCTTTTTCTTTCTCAGAAACTTTTTAATGATTGAGCACCACTCTTCTGAAGGGAAATTCAAATGTTAGGTAGAAATCAAAAAGCTATTTTAACAAATTCCGTGATTTACTATATTCTTATCCTACTATGTGAATAATGCATTATGAATATGATTTTTGATCTATTAGGTTGTTAAATAAGTCTTGTTACACTTAACTTCTAAGAACGATAACTCATGCACCTCATATTCTTTACAAGGCTACAGGGTACCATTCGATAGCGCAAAGCAAGCTCTACAAGATGATTTGCAAAATTTCGCACTAGCTCCGATCCACCGTAACTTTGCATCCAAAATCCGAGTCGCAGTGAAGGTTCAAAAATTACGAAAAATTCATATTTTTGTTCAGAAAAATCCTACGAATTTCCAACTTGCTCATAAAAATTGCCCACTATATCAAACACTCATATGCACCGTTGCTGTATATTTTCCTCATCTAGAAATCGAGAAAAAGAAAATTTTATATTTTCACAAAAACGAAGCTGTGCTGTTTCTATCTATGTAGCTGTATACTACAAGCCCTTAGCAGTATAACCGTGAATTTTCAGCTTCCCAGAAGCCCTAGTTTTCGAAAAATACCCAATTTTTGAACACCCGAGTGAGAGAAGCTAAATTTGGTATTTTTCGAAAACTAGGGCTTCTGGGAAGCTGAAAATTCACGGTTATACTGCTAAGGGCTTGTAGTATACAGCTACATAGATAGGAACCGCATAGCTTCGTTTTTGTAAAAAATATAAAATTTTCCTTTTCTCGATTTCTAGATGAGGAAAATATACAGCAACGGTGCATATGAGTGTTTGATATAGTGGGCAATTTTTATGAGCACGTTGGAGCTTCGTAGGATTCTTCTGTACAAAGATATGAATTTTTCGCAATTTCTGAGCCTTCACTGCGACTCAGATTTCGAATGCAAAGTTACGGTGGATCGGAGCTGGTGCGAACATTTGCATGCTATCTTGTAGAGCTTGCTTTGCTCTATCGAATAATACCCTGTAGCCCTGTAAAAATATGAGGTGCATGACTTATTGCCGTTAGAAGTTAAGTGTAACAAGACTTATGTAACAACCTAATACTTAGGTGTAAGGTTTAAAAAGTTCTAAGAAAAAGTTAAGATCTTATGAATTGCCAAGCTTTCAAAAGAAATGTTATAGCGTTTGTCATTATAAGCATTTTGCAATCCTTTCCAGCAGCCTCAAATATACATCTTGTTCTAGACGCTTCTTGAATGTTAAGTCTTGTTGATTCGATGATTATAAATACCTGAGCAAAACAATCGGCTCCAGCAAAAATAGTGAAGTATACTGAACACGTTTGTGCCGTCATACCCATAGGAAATACAATAGGCGAAAACAACTGAAATAAATGTTTTTCTCTATTTCGCGCAAATAATCAATAAATAGAACTTACACCAAATAATCGCGTTAAGTTTAGTGAAAATTTTCTCACACTATCAAGAAAAAATAGAAATATTCCCGTTAAGATGACGGCGCTATCTGAACAGCCCAACGCGCACAAATAAAGATTTGTGGACGTCCGCATTTCTGGAAACGAAAGATATTTGCAAAAAAATAGAAAAATAAAATAGAAAAAGGTATGAAAAACCTCTGCGACTGTAGACAAAGGCCGACAGTCCATTTCCAATTAGTCCGAGCGTACCGATAATTGGCAGTATGATACCACTTACAATAATATTGTACATTATATAGTTATTATCGCTTAATGGATGATCGCATATACCACACTAAAGCTTATAAAATTTAGAAAACTCAAAACTAATTTTATATGGGTTAAAAAGCTTATATAAACTTACTTGTGGTAGACATCCAGTAAAATTAACAGCATCTATAATACCTACGTCTCGAAGCCTTTCCAGAGAATCATATAATGGCTTATGCTCACAATTTGGTGGATGCAAACCATTCATGACATGGGAAAAACTAAATTTATTTTATTAATTGACGTGAATAACGTTGAAAATGTGAAGTAAGAAAGTAGACAAGGAAATAAAGAGTGGAAAATTGGCATAATTATGGATGGCAATAGTATCTGTCTGAATAAACAACAGAGAAGATGCTTAGTGTGTGAGAAGTGAATGAGACACCTTTGAGACAGTTGCTACACAGGTAGCATTACTCAAAACAATAATCATCTAGCAGGTAAATGTTAGTTGCTGATTTTTAACGCCTCAGAACGAGGGATACACAGCAGAAAATTTGTGTCAAAACCTCAAAAAAATTATAGAGTTTTCGCTCGCAGAAGCTATTATTTTTTTTGGCTTGATATACTAAACTAGACTCTAAAAGAAAAGTACATTTTTGAACATGAATGTGGATGCGTCTGCTTCACGATAGGGTAACTCAATCTATGGAGCGTATATGAGTTTACAAACGGAAGAGAGTGTAAAAACTGAACTTCCAGAAAGTCATACGAGAAGCCCTAACTTGAAGATGCTTCACAAGTGCAGCCCAAGTTCAAATATAGCTGATTTGTGTAAAGTAACTTGTTTGAAGGATGAAGTGAGTTAGACGAATCGGACACACATCCAAACTCAAAAGCATTGGAAAAATAAGCTTCAAATACCCATCGCGATGAAGATGGAATGAATGTGAGTGTATACTATTGAGTTTTTTTTTTATTCAAAGAGATCATTTTTGCATAATTGCGCTTAAATGCACACGTTATAACAATCGTTAGCACATCGGCTGCGGATAGGAGTGGTATCTACTTGCTTATAGAAAGATGTTTATATCGATCCTTACACCGTTTCAAAATTGGAGGGGGGGGGGGTAGGGGAGGAGAGATAAAAATTCTTAAATAAAAAAAATGCTGCCAGCCATCTCCTAAAAGTCTTCTGTACTGACAAATTCATAGAAGAATGTTTTTACCCTCAAGAGGAAGGGGGGAGGAGGGGAGGGCAGCAGTTATAGTTATTTACAAAGCTAATTCATTGACCATAACATTTATATCCCTGAACAGCTTCCTACTTTACAAAGATTTTTAACAATCCTACTTCCCCCCCCCTTCCTCCTCCTTCTCTTTCCCTCAGTAATACCTGAATATAGCATTTATAAACTGTAGATGCTGACTCTGTTAGGCACACAAATTCTTGAAATCTTTACTCGTCACTAAAACTTAGAAAAGGCCCAAATAAGAAAAAGAGAAAGAAAAAAGGTATATCAAGGAATCAATAAGAGAATGACGTTAGTCAAAAATGCATAATATTCTCATTTCCCGTAGAAAGCTCAATAGACGATGTGCACAAAGAAGAATCTGGTTTCATCAGTCATATTTCCTGTTAATTATGACTTCTCTATTATGTGACGTCTGGTGCTATTCTAAGATGATAGACATAGGAAAACACGTATATGAAGCTTCAGTTTCATATTTTTCAGATCCATTTCAACCATACGTTTAAGAAAAAAAAACTTTATAGGAAATCCTTACAGAAATTATGGACAACTCGTTCAACGAGATTTATTAGAGTTATAAGAGCCTATTACAAAAGTCATTTTTAGAATACAGTAATTCGTTATTGGTCTCCTATGCATACTTATGTAGTAGCTGTTGACTTTCATCTTATTCACAAAACGCTCGTAAAACGGATGTACGATAAAATTTGATTGTGAAGTTATTCTTCAGATTTTTAGATCACAACAGAACAAGCTTTTCCTAAATGAACAACACAATTCGTCTTTCTCAAAATGCCTGAAGAGAAAAGAAAAGTTATAGCTGCTTCATCAAGAAATCAAAAATAGGCAATTGTGTATATTCTTCAAAAGTTCTGCTTAATGAGAAGAGGAAAAAATCATAGATTAAGCGTAGGATTGGCTACGTCAAATAGTGAAGAACGGATTTCAAGTAATCCAGCTAGCTTTTTGAAATCTTGTTGTTTGCACTATGTCTACATGAGCTGGATCGAAAAGACAACAACTGTAGCATATAAATTACCCCTTTACTACTATATTTTATGTACAGAGGACGTGGATCTGCACTTTAGGGACTGGCAAGATAATTTTAGATCGAAACTCGTTTATGAGCTTTCAAAACACAAAATAACGTTTTGGAAGCGTCGTGTAATAACTGAATCACCGTCCAAGAAGGTGATAACTCACTTTTTTGTTTATGGCTCTAGAAAGACTAATCAGACTAATTTTACGTACACAATGTCATACTCTGTTGATTGTTTATGAGTTGCGGATAGGATTGCGTGGGAGGTAAGAATATCGCATTTCTTAATGAAACTGTCCTTGTAAACAAAATCCAAATCAAAAATTATTTCAGCACGTTTTCGGATGGTTGCAACCCTGTGGTATAGTCAAGAATATTTTCTTTTTACATAAAAGTGGTTGATTTTGTGACTGCACAGCTGGGGCAAAAAATGAAGTATAGCTAATCAATAACCAGTGATCGGAGAAAAAATTCTGCTAGTCCAAAAAAGTTGGGAAAAATTTTGATTAATTACAATTGTAAAAATCCACCTGCGCAATTTTGTAACCTATGTAGCTACACTAAAAAAATTTTCTTCTTATTTTCGAAGGTCAAGATATTTTGCCACCGAAATGCAAAGAAAAAAGTCCCTTACAACCTCAAAAAAACTATCATCAAAGAAAATATCGGAAAAGTCGGAATGATATATTTATATATACCTAAAACAAGACTCTGGAGATTCCGTCAATAGAGCTAAGAACTCTTTGAGTCATAATTCTCCAGAGATCACCGACATGTACTAGTCAAATAATTTTTGGACGCAAATCTGATTTACGATGTCCTAGAATGCTGAAAATAACCTTTGAAAACCTGAAAATCCTAACAACATAAAACTGCTAAAACTTCTCCCATGAGCCTGATGCTTTTGCTAAATGTCTGCTAAAACAGCAAAGTTAGCTGTGGACAAAAAAGATAGCTGGTTTGTTGAGGCAAAGATTTTACTCGGCCAGAGTTAAGTGCATAACAAAAGGGAGGCAATATAGGATAAGAGGCGAAAGTCTCTGGGGCTTTTGTTTAAGTATACATCGTTGCTTTCCGAAAAGAGAAACATTAAACATACTCGAAAAAAAAACGAATGGAAAATGCCGTTTAAAACATGCTTTGTTGTTTTCTCTCCGATAAAGATTCGTCATTCTAAATGGAATTCAAAAAAGGGCAAAGAATCAGGATGACATGGCCAAAACTCATAATTTTAAAATAAATAATGGGTTTATACGTATAAAGCATATATCGCTTTGGGTGGCTTCGAGCACAATTGCCGTTTTAGAAAATAAAAATCCCCACGGGAGCAGCTGATGAGCGACATCCGGGAATTCGTGATGGTGTTCAATTCGCTTAAAAACTCTAAAATTGTCACTTTTTGCATAGTTTTGTGATAAATGGCAGGATATTTATCATCAGATTTCTCACAAGACAAGAGAAAAACCTCGAAATGTTGCGATATTTCTCGGTTTCTGACTTTTCAATCTTTCCAGCAGCTTTATTGCTCATTTTCCTCTATCTTTAGAAAGTCTACGGCCTTAAATTGAAAGGAAAGAAATGTCATAAAGGGCACGGAAAAAGTCGTGGCAAGCCTTCTCATCCACATAAGTTTCTTGAGATTGAACTAATGGTTTGAAAATAAAATATAGGGCTGGTCCAAATGTAAATTATAAAAGTTGTTCACAAAAGTGTTCCAATCTTTGTTCTACCTTATCATGCATGTTGATTTCATTCGAAACAAAATCGAAATGTTTTGGAAAATTCGAAATCATAACTACATATTTATAGGAGCATCCAATCCGCACAAAAGTTCATCAGCTTAAAAGAGTATTTCGCAAAACCATTATCAAAATATTAAATTCTCTAGCAGCTTTTCGTATTTATAGCAACCAAAATTCAAAAATCTACAATCTGAGTGTTTCTTTACCATATTGTGTCATGTACCGCCGCTAATTTTTCTTTAGAAGCTAGTAGACAGTGTAAGATTTCCTTTCTGATTATGATTGAGCGAGCAAATTGGTTGAAACCAGAGAAAATAGCGATTTTTTGAAATTTTGGTGCCAGACTTACGGACCAACCTTTTAGAGATGAAATGGTTACTGTGGAGATGAAATGGTTACTGCGTGGAGGGAGAGTTACAATCAAGATTCTAGATCAAAGCCCAAGAATTCATTCTGCACATTTAAGAATGTATGTGCGAAGTGGTGCTACAGTATCCTTGGTGTTCTATTGGAATTCGGGAGAAATAGAAAAAAAATTGAAGATAGGTCTATTATAACCCCAAAGATAGTCACGCACTAGCATTGTACTCTCTGGTTGTGAACTTGAGCGGAATGTTAATTAATTTAGATTATTTTCACATGTTCAAACATATGTAGTATTCAGAAAAAAATAGAAATTCACCGAAAAATACGCGATACTTCTAATTGATAACTCGAATGCCCTGTATGTATTGCATAACCAAAATCTAACTATTTCTAGGTCCCAAAAACAGTGAACCTATCATTGTTTTTCAGTTTTACAACAAATTATTTGAAAATATGTACTACCGTTTTGACGCACAATGATTTTTATTAAAGTCTGTTGGAGAGAAAGTATGCTTCTTCTAGTGTGCTCAAAACAAAACTTTTTAGAATTTATTTCAGAATTAAAGCATTGAGAGAAAACACTCAAATTATGAGATGTTAAAAATGACTCGCAAGTTGCTAAAAGATCCAATGAGGATTACCATCTTCAGATTATCACAGCACTCCATTTAATTAAGGAGTATGTTTATAAAATTGACTTTTTTCTACGCAATAAATTCCACATTACATGTATTGATTTCAACTCAAACGTTGCAAACTGTCACAATTGTTCAATTGTAAATCATGTCATATGTTGTAAGTTTACACATACGTTGGCTTTTTTGGAGCTGGGACTTTCTTCAATATTATCCATGCTCGACTATCTATTAATCTTGGTATAATAGTTACATTTCAC